AATCCGAAACACCTCTGGTCCCAGGCATTTTGGATAAATGGTACTCAGCCTGTATTTAGTTCTACTTTGTACTTCGGTTCTACGGACTCGCTCTGGTGTATGGTAGGGGTGAGGATGGAGCGACCCCATCATCCCTCTGTCGGGGATACAGGATGTAGAGGCTCTTCTGGCTGATGGCTCCTTTGATGTCCACTATGGCAGCTTGAAAATCTAAGAAGTAGGCTTACAAGTTTTCCAGTTTACCCAAAACCAGCCTAAAATATGCTTCACCTCAACCCTTCAAGAACTATGTCCCATAACTACCGGGTTGGACTTTTGGGCCCATTCCTGAGGTTGTTAGAACCAAATGCATTTTGAGTGTTCCTGCATGTTCACCAGGAACGCATGGAAGTCTGGCCTGAAACACTCAGCTCTGCAGTGTGGACCAGCTCTTGGTGTGGTCAGCACAGGCCGGCCTGTGGGTTGAGCTGGGTGAAGAGTTCATGGAGCATTTTCAAATCTGTCACTCCCTCAGCAACCTCTGAGATGGGCAGAGCCATGAGAATTCCTTTTCCCAGTTCGCAGATGGAGACTCTAAGGTCCGATGAATTCATTTGGTGGGGCTGTTGTCAATGGAACACCGGCTGCTGGGTGGTTTCCACAGAGGAAACTACTGTCTTACACGAATGGAGGCTGGGAGTCCAGGACGAGTGTCAGCAGGGCGGGTTCCTTCTGAGGCTGAGGGAGAATCCATGCCAGGCTTTTCTCCCTTAGCTTCTGCGGGTTTGCAGGTAGCCGCTGGCAGGTAAAGCCTCACCCCCATCTCCATCCTCCCGTCACCTGTTCCTCTCTGTGTGCATGTCTGTTAACTCCCCGCTTTTATAAAGCCGCTGGGTCATATTGGCTTGGGCCTCACCTGATGATCTCACTTTAGCTTGATTACGCCTCGAAGACTCTGTCTCCAATTAAGGTCCCATTCTGAGGTGCGGGGGATTAGGACTTAACATGCAAATTTGGGGGGCACACAATTCCGTCCATAACATTTGGGAAATGGGGGGAACAGCTGTCTTGGTGACTGCCTGGAATGAGGATTTGGGATGTAGATGACGGTGGTCGTCTCTGTATGAATATAGCTTCCTGTCTGAATGTGGCGGGGTGAGGACCGCGAGCTGCCTGTCATTTATCCACTCGCTCTTCCAGACCCACTGGAGGAACCCTCTGCAGATTTGTCATCAGCTGAGACTGTCAGCCGCTGTTAAAACAGCTACTCAGACGGACAAAGCGACGTAACTGCCCTTCTCCCTGCAGTGCACCGTGGGAGAAGACACTTGTGCTTTGACCTGCTGAAGACAACAGAATCTTGTCTTCTTGGCATTGTGGTTTGTGGAGATTTGCCCCAAATCACGGTTAATGGCAACACTGATGTTTCTTGAAACAACTGGAGAATAAGGCATCTTCCAGACTTGATACTTCCTTGATCCACCCACACTAAGACGTGTGGTTTTCTTGGGGCCCCTGATGGCTGATGGGCCCACACTGGTGTATGGTGGTGCCCGTGGGAGGACAGTGCCCGAATGAAAGATGGTGCCCCTTTCTTCTCAGCAAGGCTGGGCCTTGTCCAGAGACCTTGGGCCTCTGGAGCCATTGATCAGGAGTTGGGGAGGTGGAAAGGGGCCAGTGGTCCTGTCCACTGAATCCATCCACTGGAACCTCCCAGACATGACAGTTAGATCTAGATTCCCTCCTCCCCTCCACTACAGCACTGAGGGCGCCACGTGTACACCTGTCCCTGCCCAGAGTCCAGTGCTGACATCTCTGGGTCCCCTGGCAGGGAAGCTGGGTCCACCCATACTTAGGCATGAGGTGTGAGTTTACCCAGTTATCCGTCTGTCCAGGGAGCCTGCTGGGGACTTACGTGATGACATGCAGCTCAGCTTCAGGACTGTGAGGTCGTTAAGTAAAGACACTGCCTAACGAACCTGCCAGAAGGAAAGCTCCAGAGGGTTTGCAGGGCCCTTCTCCAAAAATGCGAAGAGAATCTGCACCAAAGCCACAGTGACGGAGGGTGTTGTCAGCGCAACCTCTCTTTAAATAGAGAAGGAAGCGCGACAGCTTTTTGGAGTTGGGACGAGGTGGCATCTGGACTTGTCCAGCAAAGATTTATTTTGTGCCCTGGGGGTGGAAGCTGGGCAGCCTGGGAAGAACTGGGCAGCCTGGGGAGAGCTGGGCGGCAGCGAGGACGGAGAGGCCGAGGCCACATGCAGGCCACACACAGGTCATTTTCCTCGGGGCTGCTGGAGGGCGGCTCTCCAGAGATCTCCGTGGCCTTGGCAGCCCCCACGACTGAGTCGGGTGGAGCGAGGTAGGGGAGGAGTGTCATAAAGAGGAAGGCATCAGGGGCTGCTGGAGATGGACATGTTCCTGCCATGTGGGCTGTGGGTCTGCACAGCAGCTGGCAGTCTTCGGTCTAGGCCTTGCCCACAGCCTGGGAGGCCGTGGAGTCCCTGTGAGGGGAGGAGGGTCCCTTCTGGGAGCACTCAGTGGGGCAGGGAAAATACACTTGCTGTCCCCGCCTTGGGCTTGTGTCGGGAAGTGCCTCGGGGAGAGTGAGGCAGCTGAGGTGATCCCCAGCGGTGGGTTTCCGGAAGGTCCCGTCAGCTGATGTTCGGGCCACACGTTCTCTTGGGGTGATCTTCCATGTCACGGTACTCACCCTTTCCTCCTTTCCTCACTGGCCCAGTAGTAACGCGGCCACTTGAGGGAGGACCCCACTGAGGCAGGCCCCGGGTCTGCCCTTTATGACGGCCCGCGATGGACCTGCCTGATGAAGGGGCACAGTGGTGCCAGTGCCTGCCCAGAGTTCAGGCTGGAGATTCCAAGGACCCTGACCAGGGCATAGGGGCTTGGGGTACAAAGGAAAGAAGGGCACCCAGTTCTCAGAGATGCTGGTGCGGTGGCTTTTAAAATCAGAAAGAAGGCTGGGTGCAGTGGCTCACGCCTATAATCCCAGCACTTTGGGAGGCCCAGGCAGGCAGATCATGAGGTCAAGAGACTGAGACCATCCTGTCCAACATGGTGAAACCCCGTCTCTACCAAGAAAAATACAAAAATTAGCCGTGCGTGGTGGTGTGCACCTGTAGTCCCAGCTACTTGGGAGGCTGAGGCGGGAGAATTGCCCAAACCAAGGAGGCGGAGGTTGCAGTGAGCCGAGATCAAACCACTGCACTCGAGCCTGGGTGACAGAGCAAGACTGTGTCTCAAAAAAAAAAAAAAAAAGAAAGAAAAGAAAAATTGGAAAAAACAGGCAATGCATGCCCACTGCAGAGGCCATGGGCAAAGCTGCAGAAGTGTGAAAAGGCAGGGGTATGGACCCATGACGACAGCACCTTCGTATTTTCACTTCCCCCAGGTTTTTTTCAGTGCCCTTTTTTTTTCCTCTTACGATGTTGAGGTTTTCAGCTGTTCTGTCTTGACTTGACTCTTTGGAGAACAAGTACTTGGAGAAATATTCTGAAAAGCTCTGAGCACCATGGTAGACCCGTCTCAAAGGAGGGGGTTGGACGGATGGCGGCGTCCTGCCTTCTGGGCCGTAAACAGGCTGCCTTGTGATTCCAGAAAGTCAGCCTGGGTGCCGGTGGCTGCGCGGGAGTCACGGTGGCACCTGCCGTCCGCCTGTCTCTTCCCACCTTTTGTTTTTGTCTCCTCTGGTTTCAGATCTTTTGTCGTATTTGTGCATATATTTTGTCACATTGTTGTGGCCTTTTTCGTAGTGTTTCATTGATTCTTTTCCTTTTGCCTGTGTGATTTTGTATATCGCTTGGACACTTAGAAGGTCTGCATCTACTTAGAGACCAACTTTACAACTAGATTTTCTGTTACCTAATGGGTTCCTCCTTTCCTCTCCCTCATACCTTTTATTGATCTGGAATTCATTTTGTCTTTGGTTCTGAGTTGAAGTGCCGAACAAGGAGTCTGTTCTCTGAACACCAGCCAGCTGCCCCAGCATCACAGGGAATGATTCTTTCCTTCCTGGGTGGTTGTGATACTTCTTTTAATTGCGTGTTAAATATTTACACGGGTGGAGCTCTCTTCTGGGCTGCCTGGTTTCTGCGGAGGCTGACTGGCCATGATTTGGGGAAGATGTCCAGAAGGAAATTTCCCCTCCTTCTTCCACCATCTGACGGGGTCCCAGATTCCTCTGAAGGCTGGGGCCACTCTGTTATACCTGTAGAGAAGGTCAGCGTGAGGGGGAGGGGGTCATGGTGGCACCTGCAGTCCTGCCTGTCGCCTCGATGTTGGCCAGCTCTGCTCTCAAAGGCGCCGGCTTTGTAGTGATGTCAGCGCCATGTGACTTGAGGAGGAGACCCCACTGCTGCAGTATGTCTGGGGTTCGTCTTCGGGGCTCAGCTGATGAGATTCTTCTGTTGCATTAGCGATGCCAGTTGTTGCAGCAGAAGTAATGGCAGGTGACGGAGACTCATCGCTGGGGTGAGAAAAGGCACAATAAGCTATTGTCACAGGCAGGGCTCCCTGTGAAGCGGACTGTGACGCAGAGGCCACTGGGCGGGATGTTTAGGTTTGCTGGGAAGCACAGCAGCAAGGGCAGAGGACAGTGAGGCTGGGACGCAGCTGGAACATAGCCTCCACATAGCTCGTCACTGACCCCACAGGAGCTCTGGCCTGGGCTGGCCTGCAGCGCCACGCCGAGTCAGGATAGGGTGAGGGGCAGGCCTTGTTACCCTGCGTTGGTCACTGGCTTGGTCATTGGGTGGGGGCTGGCCCAGGAAGGGGGCTGGTATGCCCTCAGGGAGGGCTCCTTCTACTGAGACAGTTCTGGGTGGCCTCGGTGAAGGGGGTCTGGGGCACGTGGTGACGTCCGCCCCCGTCCTCACCTGCAGTGGACACGCACTTGAGAGCACGTTTGCCCTCCAGGACGTGGAGGGGCCCTGGCGGGAAGCACAGGCCTGAGTTCTGCGCTGGATGGGACTGAAGCTCACTCGTGTTTCCTTCTTGTCTTGCAGCATCTCCCTCCTCTCCTGGACGAAAGGCTGTCGTGTCCTGGGACTTCTCTGACATCGGGAGGCTGAGGCTGTGCCAGGTAGGCAGTGTAGGCACGTTGTGAGTAGGTTTCCCTACCTGGACCCGCTTTACCGTGTCATTACCAGGGTGCCAGACCTGTGGGGACACAGGCCCAAACGTGTGCAGAGCAGCTGCAGGTGGGAGAAAGCTCTGGAAGCTTCCGGTGACACTTGACCTTTCACAGGCACTGCAGGCCTGTCCCTTGTGGCGCTCTCCTGTCCTTGAAGCCCACAGAGTTGTCCCCAGCATGAGATGATCATTTGTCATCCTGGCATCCAGAAACCTGGCTCCGGCGCCTTCTCAGAACAGCCCTGCGTTTCTGTTTTCCGCAAATCCTCTTTCAGGGACACCCATGGAACGTTCTCACTCTTCTGAGAAAGCCAGGCTAGCAGCTCATCCCCCACCAGTGGCTGCGGGACAGAGCCCGGGTTGGCTGTGCCCTCGTCCCCTCATGTGATACGTTGAGAACAAAGGAGAGGTTGTTCTCATGTCACAGAAGGACCTGCGACAAGATGGGAACGGACCTGCGGTTTCAGGTCACCCTCCCTGGGGCGTTGGGGGAGCATGTGTCCTTGAGACCCACTGGCAGAAAAGGTTCCAAGGAAGCCTTGGCTGGTGTTGGTGAGGAAGAGCTGGATTAAATGGTGATCTGGTAAAATGTTCCTGGATGCTTTCTTGGCTGTTTGTGGCCTTTATTCTCCTGGTTGGCAATAGAAGGACCAGGGCACAGCCCTTATTTGCTTAAAAAGCAACATATGAGGCTGGATGCGGTGACTCACACCTGTAATCCTAGCACTTTGGGAGGCTGAGGTGGGCGGATCCCAAGGTCAGGAGTTTGAGACCAGCCTGGCCAACACAGTGAAACCCCATCTCTACTAAAAATGCAAAACTTAGCTGGGCGTGGTGACCCATGCCTGTAGTCCCAGCTACTTGGGAGGAGGCTAAGGCAGAAGAATTGCTTGAACCTGGGAGGCGGAGGTTGCAGTGAGCTGAGATCTTGCCTCTGCACTCCAGCCTGGGCGACAGAGCAAGACTGTCTTGTGGAGGTGGAAAACAAGGCAACAGAAAGGATTGGATCTAAGTAAACACAACATTTGGATGCTCAAGGCCAAAGGGGGAGCTGAGAAGCCACAGCTCACAGTGGGATTCCTATTCAGGCCATGTTTGAATTTCAAAAGCCCCTCCAAATCAAGGAGGCAGCTATTGAACTGTTTCAGGTTTTTCTTTAAATCCTGTAAACAGGGTAGCTGATTGGATTTTCTTTCAACTTCTCCCCCCACCCTTTCTGTCCTGTCTCTGTTTTCCAGTATCTGCTTGTGCCTTAGGATGGAGAGAATGTTTGAGATGTGCCACGAGGCTCAGGGCTCTTCATTGTGATGTGAGGAATTCAGCAGCTTTCTGGTCCCAGGGTCAATCCTCTGCCCACTGGGGCTTCAGTGACTTGAAACACTTCAGCCCAGGCAGAGGCCACCAGAGGCCTTTCCTTATAAGTGCAGCCTCTGGCCCTGGAGGCTGTGGTCTTTTTGGGCTGCGGTGAACTCTCCTGAAAGGCGTCCACATTCCTGGCATTCTTTTGGCCTGGCATTGGTCAGAAAGCGGGGGTTTCTAAAATCAAAGGCAAGCCCTGCAGCTTGGTTCTTCTCTGTAGATAAACTGGGGGGAGAGCAGGGGCTGTGCAGCCTGTGTGCCCCCACATGGGCTCGCCTTGCTGGGCCCTGGATTTGTGGCTTGGCCAGAGCAGGCCCCATCCTGAGCAAGGCAGGAGGAGGCTAATGGGGGTCCCTTTCAGGCTCCAGCAGTTCCTTGGGCGGCACGCATGTGGTTTGCTTTTTCTGGCCCTGTGCCAGAGTTACCGGGGCAGCAAGACGTCTGGGAAGAGGAGCAGGAGGGTGGGACGGGTGCTGCCATCCCACGGCAGTGCCCGCTTGTCTCTGTGGCGGGCACACAGGCTTCCAGGAACCCAGCAATGGAAGCACACCCAGACTTGCCCTGGATACAGTGGGCGAGGCATTGTAGGCGTCTCTGGGTGGAGTTGAGGGGTGCTTAGGGGCATGGGTCCCCACAGCAGTTAAAGAGACCACCCACAGGCTACCGCACTTGGAGACGATTTTTGTTTTGCCTTGTTTTCCCAGAGGCATCAATGCAATGCTTTCTCCAGCCTCAATAGTCACAGTCTGATTTGCCTGGGGGTGGTGGAGAGGTGGAGCCCACTCCTATGCCCTGAGTGTTGCCCGTGGCAAAGTTTGTGATTTGCACGTAGATCCTGCCTCCTAGGTTCAAGTTAACCTGATTCTGATCCCACTCTCATCACTGGCAGAGGTAGTTTATCCTGGTGCCTGCGGCCCTTCAGGACAAAGGAAGGAGCAGAAGTGCTCTTGAGACCAGAATGAATGATGGAGGAAATGGAGGCCAGCAGCTGCTCCTCCGGGGAGTGTCAGCCAGGGGATGGAGCCGGCAGGGAGACCCGGGCCCCACAAGTCCTCACTCTGTGGTTGTTCCCGCCATCCCACTGATGGCTGGGAAGGGTGAGCTTCAGCCCCTGGTGGCTTCAACAGCCACCCCTGTAGTTGTGTCTGCTCCAGCCCTGGGAACGCCCTGCCTGTTTCACAGATGAGAAACTCATCTCGGAGGACTCAGAGACCCGGAATACTTCAAGTTCAGAGGGTGGTTAAGAAGAGCCCAGCCTGGAGTCCGGCTGCATTTGTGTGCCCCCTAAACCACTCCTCTGTTCCCTCAGCTTAGCTAGTGCCTGGGAGGGCCCAGGGGCCACATGGGCTGCAGCCACGCCCCCCACTCTAGCTCTGGCCAGTAGAAATACACTGTGAGCCACAGGCAGGAGGTGTAAAAATGAACAGGTAAAGATGATTTTTCTTCTTTAGACTGTAAATTCACACGACAGTCGAGGGGGCCGTGAAGAAATGGGTGGTAGTGAAGTCACCTGCTCTTGGCAGGGCGACTGGCCATGCCAGCCCTGCCTGGCCACCTTCTGCCCAGGTGATGTGGAAAGTCTGCAGGGGTCACCTCAGACTGAGGGTCTCCAAACTTTCCTAGCTCTGTGTGTTTGGTTAACTTCTTTGCTGGTTTTGTTTTTGTTTGTTTGATTTGTTTTTTGAGACGGAGACTCGCTCTGTCACCAGGCTGGAGCGCAGTGGTGTGATCTCGGCTCACTGCAACCTCCACCTCACAGGTTCAAGTGATTCTCCTGCCTCAGCCTCCCGAGTAGCTGGGACTACAGGCACGCGCCGCCACGCCTGGCTAATTTTTTGTATTTTTAGCAGAGTCGGGGTTTCACCATGTTGGCCAGGATGGTCTCAATCTCCTGACCTCGTGATCCACCTGCCTTGGCCTTCCAAAGTGCTGGGATTATGGACATGAGCCACTGCGCTCGGCCTGGTTTTGCTTTTGAGGTGAAAGCCACATAACCACTGCACTGGGCATCAAGCGCATTCCTGGTGCCTCATCGCCACCGCTCTCTCTCGTTTCAAAACTTCCGCATCACCCTGGAGGAGCACCCTGTACTCACCAAGTCACCGTCCCCATTGCCCCCTGTCCCCGCCTCTGGCAACCACTAATTGGTTTACTTTTGAGGTTTGCACTGGGCTCCGTTCTCATGGCCTTCCATCTGAGACCGAGATCCTGGCTTTCATACATCCTTGGGACAGAGCAGCTAAGTCCAGCGTCCTTAGTAGCATGACCAGGTCTGCTTGGACTGTCCATGGAGGTGGCCTGCAGTCACTGATTCTGCACCTGCCAAGGCCTGACCTTCAGGTTATCAGCAGATAATCCAATATAGGAGAAGGGCACTTGGGGCCATGCGGTGGCAGAACAGGAAGCCGTGCTCAGTGTCTCTCCAAGCCTCTGCATTCCAGTGACGATTTCCACAGGGCCTCAGGAAATAAACCGCTTCGAGTGCCCATTTGGCGAGGCTGTTGGCTGCCAAAGGGAAGCTGGAGAATCTGGACGGAAGCGAAAGAAACGTGAGCCGCACTCCCGGTGACACACTGGACTAAGAACGGCGCCTGCCTTCTTAAGAGGCTTGTTTTGTGGTGTCATAACCAGCCTGCCTGACACCCTTCTCAAAGCAAGCATGTCGTGAGGACACGGGAGGGATTCTTAACATACTTGAGGCTTTGGGGATAGATTCCACTATTGTTTATTTCAAGAGCCTTTGAATCCCTGGCTGAAATCTGCTCCCATTTTTGAAGAACCTTCCCTTCCTTTTGAAGATCAGAAGAGCCATGATTTTCCTGTCTCTGTGTTTGGAGTTGCCCCCCGCCCTGCTGTTCGTTCGTTATTTAAAGTTGACTGGGCAGACTGCAGGTTTGGAAGGAGGGCACCTGGATGTATTTCATTCTTGGGTCAGAAAAATACCTATGCAAAGAGCTTCTAACTAAGTATGGACAGAAACAATAGCATGTTACAGAAATCAATTTCCTCGGCCCCAGTTTCCTCGTGGGTAAAGATGGAAGCTGTGTCTCCGAAGGTTCTCAATGACTAAAAAGGAATGAAAGATGCCCTCAGACTTGCTCAAGAAGAAAAGGAGGCAGGATTATTGGAACGATCCAGAAATGGAGTATAGTGAGGCCTCTCAGACTTTGAGGAATGAATTGGTCATCAGAGATTACGCTTTCCTCTGACCTGTGCATCTGGCTCTGTCACCTGGCCTCTGCTGCTCATGGGCACACACCGGGCCCAGGAGTGGCCCAGCCAGTGCATAGCAGTGCTTTGCAGGCCCTGCCCTTGAGCCACTTTTGAGTTTCCCAGCATCTAGGTCCCAGAAGCAGCTGGTTGGGCCAGCTCAAGCTCTGGGTCCACTGTAGATTGATTCATCTGTACCTGGTCTCCACCGCTGATGCATCTTGGGAGGGGGTGTCCAGGCTGGGGGTGTGCCTGGGCCAGGCAGTACCCAGGCAGTCAGGGAAGTGGCACTCACTCATCCTCAGCTGAGCTTCTCTACAAGCTCCCTCCGTCCCTCCTTCCCTTCTTCCTTCCTGTCAGAACTCCCACAACCCCATCACT